ATTGATTATTATTTTTACATATCTTTTTTCGATTTAATGGTTTTTTTTCTTATATTTCAATTTTTACATTGTTTCATCTAATGAATCATATCCGAGCCAGCGTCTGTTAATCAAATTCTGACTTTATTTTCCTGAATCATAATCATGTCTAGTATCGTTACTACCTATCACGTCAACTCTCAATCCCTCCCAGCACATTTTGATGAATTCCTAGAATACTTTACCCACAATTTTTACCACATCAAATTGCAATTTTCGAAACCTGGCTCAAGCCTCATCCCTTCCTAACTACACACTAATCCGCCACGACCGGACGAGCCGGACTGGCGGAGGTGTAGCTTTGTATGTTCACGAATGCCTGAAGACCCGAATACTCCACTGCTCTCCTCCATCCGATCACCCACATGTAGAGTTCCTAATCGTTGAAATTTCCTTTGATACATCTCCTATCCTTTATGTCGCAGTGTATAGACCTCCTCTTGTTCCCTTTGATCCGTCATTTAAATCATCCCTCTTCAACTTTGTTCCTCTTTATACCAAAATAATCATTTCCGGCGACCTAAACACTAATTTCCTTTCCAACTCCAGCGATAAATCATACCTCGAAAACCTTTATATCTCTCTTCATCTTTTCATTGTTCCTTTTTCTTCCACTCATCACACCCCCAAGTCCGATACTTGGTTGGACCATTACATTATCGACTCCTCTCAGAAACTCCTTTCCTCCTCACAAGTACCGGTCTCCTTTTTATCCTCTCATGACCTAATCCAAATTTCATATAATATCCATACTCCTCCGATCCTACCTAGAACCATAACTTTCCTTAATATTGATGTCCTCACTCGCGAAAAAATCTTACCCTACCTGGAAACACTTTGTTGGAATGGAATATATTCCTATTCCTGTATTGACTCTTGGTTGACATTTTCACTTCCAACCTCCTTAATATCCTCGATGCCCATGCTCCCATTAAAACCTCGACCTTTTGTCGCCCTCCCCCCAGCTCCCTGAATGTGTCAGAAAATTAAAGATCTTCAGAAGAGATGTGATGCTGCCCGCAGACGCTTTAGACGTACTAGGCTCGCTGACGACTACCAAGCGTTTAGGGTGTTCCGTAACCTGACACAAACCAAAATCCGACGAGCCAAATCCACCTATTTCCACGAAGCCCTATCATCAGCTCCTAATTCCAAAACCAAATGGCCACTCCTTCGTAAACTTTCCCTCTGTGAATCTTCCAGATCACCTTCCTCAGCAGTCTTTCCAGTTAAACCTGATGATTTAAATTCATATTTTATATCAGCTTCCTCCTCCATTCCTCCACCAACCTCTTCCCTCTTTACTCCAGGAATATCATTTAACGACAACTTTTATTTTTCAGATATTTCTCCTACAGACCTCATATCTGCCGTGATGAATTCTCATTCCAATTCTATTGGTCCAGATGGTATTCCTGTCAAATTGTGCCTACCTGAAATCCTTCCGCTCTCCTTTTCATCTACAATTTCTCCCTTCAGAACGCAATATTTCCTTCCTCATGGAAAAAAGCCATTGTCCGTCCTTTACGTAAAATCCTAACCCTTCTTCTTCTGAAGATTACCACCCAATCTCAATCCTTTCTAACCTTGCAAAACTTCTAGAACGAATAGTCCAACCCCAAGTTTCCAACTTCCTAGAACAGTCCAACCAACTTGACCCTTTCCAGCCTGGTTTTCGACCAGACTACTCCACACAATCCGCCCTGATCAAAATCATTAGTGATGTTCAGTCGGCCATAGATGACAAAAAACTAACTGTCCTTGTACTCCTAAACTTTTACAAAGCATTTGATACCATTAACCATTCCATCCTTTTCTCCAAATTGAAATCGTTATCGTTTTCCAACCGCTCTATCCTTTGGTTTCAATTATTCCTCTCTCAACGTACCCAAGCAGTGTCTATTCCCAATCAACCTTTATCATGCTATCTAACTCTGTCCTCTGGAGTGGTACAAGGCTCTAGCATATCTCTTCTACTTTTTAGTTCACATATTAACGACCTTCATAAATCAATCCTTCACTGTTCCCATCACCTTTATGCCGATGATTCCCAAATTTACCTCTCCTTTGCTCTCTCTGAGTGGCATGATGCGTTTGCCAAAATACAAGAAATCGGATTTGTGCCTGGGCAGGTGAAAATGGATTAAGGTTAAACGCTGCTAAAACCCAAGCCATTGTCATTGGTTCCAAAACCCTTCTCAGATCCAATACCAACATTCCTCTCCTGTACCTAAATGACAAACCCATCACCTTCAACTCTTCAGTTAAAAACTTAGGAGTTTTCATAGATCAAACCCTCTCCTGGAATCACCATAATTCCCACATATCCCGACGTTCAATTTCCATCGCTTTCGCCATCTCCTACCCATGTCCACACGTAGACTCCTAGTATCCGCCCTCATCATCCCCCACATTGACTACGGCTGCGTAGTGTACGCTGGCCTCTCATCGAAACTTGGAGACAGACTGAAAAGAATCATGAATGGCTTAGTACGATTTGTCAATGGAACCCCGAGACATTCTCGTGTTTCTCACTACTACGCCGAGTTAGGGTGGCTCTTTCCCTCCTTCAGAAGACAATATTTTTTAGGTACATTCCTTTACTAAATAATCTATAATCATCGTCCGTCCTACGCATTCAATTTTCTTCAATTCAAGTTATCTATCCACTCCCTCTCCACAAGATCTCGTCCTTCTGACCTTTATACCCCTTTTCACAAATCGGCCTCATTTCAACACTCCTTAATAGTTCGCTCCACCACCTTTTGGAATTCCATCCCACTTAAAATCCACCATCACAGGCGGATCTACGGGGGGCTTTCGGGCTGAAGCCGCCCCCAAAATGGTAAAATATACAGAAAGAAATATTAAAAACAACCTCTTAAAGTATTCTTGTTCGTTTAATTACATTTAATAGGACTTCAAGAACCACTTAAACACCATTTCATATAGGTAGTTAATTTCTTTCTTTTTTTAAAAAATTAATTATCGTTATATGTATATGAAAAAAAAATCTTTCGGGCTGAAGCTCCCCCTCCAAAATTAAATTCTGGATCCGCTAGTGTGCACCATCCTTATCCATATTTAAAACCCTCTTATTCCAATTCATCCTTACAATTCAATCAGACGCTGGGTAGCCATTTATCATGTATATTATATATGTATATAATCTCGTCTATATGTATATTATCTTTTATTATCACCGATCAATCTACATCTTAGGATTTAGATTATATTAAGGAACATATGTAAGTCATTTAAAGTAAATATTTATCCACTCTTTTATTATTTTTTTTTTCCATTAATAGAATGGTATGACAACAAAAGTAATTTGTCGTTCATTTAGAATTCCATAGTTTATTGTTTGTACCAACTATTTTGGAGTATTAGGACCTTATTGCTCATATTAAGTCTTTAATATATCTGTATAGTTATGTAAATCCTTCTGTTATTACTTATTTTTTAGTTGTTTTTTTATTGCAATAGAATACATTGTGTATAGGGCAGATATGATAGATATGTGAAAAGTAGAAAAGGAAACAGCATACAAAAATTATTATTAAAAATTTATTGCTTAAAATAAAAATAATCATATACATATGCTTACCATATGGGAGAACTTAAATGTAAATATAATTGCATTTACTAATTCAAGGAATCATTCTTATTTCATTTCATCATAATTTTATTTCAAAGATAATAAAAGCATTTGAAAAATTTAATAAGTAAATTTTGATTTAATATCCATTGTTGAAATCTTAAAAACCAAATAATCTCTAATTAATAATTAGGCTGTTCAATATGAATGACCATATTTTCCATCAAGTTCTTATATATATATATAAGGGCATACCCTGGATTTTCCTGGAAGTTGACTAATTAGTTTTAACATTAGTTTGGTGTGTAGTTCCTAACATAGTAATCTATATTACAGATAATAGTAAATATAGCCATAATATATTCTATAATTAAATCTTACAAAAAGTTGTTATTTAATGTCATTTTACTTTTACTTAAGTCTAAACGCAAAATATTTACTTCATTTATAATTATAGGAATAGATATTTAAACATTTTTTGTGTATTTGTACATTTATTGATTTTTAAGAAATGAAAAAGTATTGATGTTGAAATAAAATAAACGAAATACAGCTACCAACAATTTATTTTATATTAACTTCTTAAAATATAAATTTCAACCTCAAGTTATAATGTTTCTGGCTAACTGTTGTACAGGTAGCCTACCATGTTAGCTGAAGGGATTGATTTCACCCAAGACAAAGGAATGGGGTTGTCCTCCTTACCACCTTACACCTTCTTGATTATAACAAAGGGTATTTACTCCAGAATCTCAGGGCCGGAACTATAGCGAAGCAAAGGAGGCACTTGCCTTGAGAAGCAAAATTTGTAAGAAATTTTTTATTTTAGCTTAGGTAAAAAATATTTCCTTCAACTTTTTGTGTGTTTTGACTTTAATCTAGTATATAACACGAGTTAATAAGTGATGATAGTATTTATTTCGAAACACATTGCCTAAAATACTGATATACAATGTTAACTTTTATTGGATGGGCAGCAGAAGCATCAAAAGCAGAAAAAGCATCAAAACTAAGCTCGTCCCTCCTGGAAAAAAATCTTAGTTCCGGCCCTAGTGAATCACTTATGACTCCAAAATTGAGCTTTTAATTTTAAAATTTCAAATTTTTAATGACATTTCCGCAACAATATGATTTTTGTACTTTACCCATATATTTACAGGTGCCACAGGTATAGTTATGCTATATACACCAAAGGTTATTCTTTAATTTAAGTGAAATAAATGCCATAAGAGATTCATTCTGCTTAGTAAATATATTTTTAATAACCTGTCAGTCATGAATTATGAAAAATTTGTGTGTATAAAAATACATCCCTTTTACGATAACTTTCAATAATTGTAAAAGTAGAGGAGCTAGACTTTATTTAGGTATATGGTTCATTTATTAAAGAAATTGGATTATGTTTTGATGAAATGGCCAACAGCTCCCGAAGACCCTAAAACATAAATAAATTAATTAATTAGAGTAAGCTATGTCAAAAGGTAACACTGAAAAAATAAAGTAAAGATACAAAACCTCTTTGATTTTATTTTCTCTGAAGAAGAAAATTGGCGAACTCATCATCTAGCCAGAGGCTGCAACCTGGTCTTCCAGGTTTGGGTATACTTAATCTAACACTGACACAGTATACTTACTCAGCATTCTACAACCATACCAGTACTAGCATGGATGGGGAGACTAATCCGGAAAATTGGCCTTGTAGTCTTTTCTTGCAACCTCTGTGTAGGAAAATAAATATAGAAAAACATAGTGAGATATATAACACTCGGTACACCAACACACACCTTCTATCCTGGTTTTACCTTCTCTCTAGTAAGGAGACCGCGGATCTATTTTTATTTCTACTACATGGGTCATTATAAATAGCACAATAGTCTTAGTCCAAGGAAATTATTTTTAAAAATATAATTATGTAATATTGTATTCTCTTTTTAATTTACCTCCATGTTGGCCTCATTTATTTGGGATTTTAATTGTTCAACAATATTAAAACATAATATATAAAAACTTTAGGTATTAGTCATTCGGATATTGAAATAAAAACAACTCACATCAAGAATACATCATTTATAATATACTTATTTAAATCTATCGGGCTCAAATGGGAAGTGATACACAACCAACCGATTCGATCCCACTCTCGAATCCTCCCTCCTTACATATATTCCTCTCTATGAAAATATTATTATTGCTGGTGATCTCAACACCAACCTCCTTTCAAACACTCCGGACAGAACATATCTTACCGACCTAGTTTTTTCCTTAGATCTATTTATTGTACCCTTTCTACCCACCCATCACATCCAATCCACTGATACTTGGCTAGATTTATTTATTATTGATTCCCCACATAACCTATTATCCTCTACGCAAATTCCAGTTCCCTTCCTTTCATCCCACGATCTTATTGAAATAACATACAACTTCTCTACTCCTTCACCTAAACCCAAACAAATTTCCTGGAGAGATCTAGATTCCTTAACCACTGAAAACATCAGCCCCTTCCTCGATTCTCTTTCCACTTGCTTAGAACCCATCTATTCTCTCCCCTCCATCGATGATATGGTTGAATGCCTTTCCTCCAACCTCCTCGATTTTCTCAATTGTCACGCACCTCTAAAAACACGTGTCTTTAGACGTCCTCCCGCTCCTTGGATCAATACAGAAATAAGAGAACTAATGAGGAGAAGAGAAACTGCTAGAAGACGATACAGACGTACTAGACTAACTCAGCATTATTCCACATTTAAATCCCTACGAAATCTCACACAAATGACCCTACGTCGCGCCAAAGCCCAATACTTCAATAATGTTTTATCCCAAGAACCTAACCCTAAATTCAAATGGAAAATCCTTAAGAACCTCTCTGTTGTTACCTCGAAAACCTGCACACAGTATCCAATCGATCCCAACACGCTAAATTCTTTTTTCACTAACCATTTTCTATCCACATCTCCATCTGACCGCTCATCTTTTTCCATTACCGAAACCCCTTTGATCCTGATAAGTTTTACTTTCTCGACATCTCTCCTACTGACCTGCTCTCTGCCACCCTTAAATCCAAAACGAATGATTATGGTCCTGACCAAATACCTGTTAAAGTTATCAAACTCTGCCTTCCAGCTTTACTACCCGCACTTCTACACATATATAATTTCTCTCTCCAAAATTCCATTTTTCCCAAATCCTGGAAAAGAGCCATAGTCCGTCCACTGAACAAAGTTCCAACTCCTTCATCAGCTTCCGACTTCAGACCCATCTCCATCCTATCCAATCTATCCAAGCCTCTAGAAAGATTAGTTCACTCTCAGTTGAACAGCTTTCTCGAGCAAAACCATCTCCTCAATCCCTTACAATCTGGTTTCCGATCCCAGTATTCCACCCAGTCTGCCTTGCTAAGGATTACCCAAGACCTCCAATCCGCCATAGATAAACAGAAAATCTCCATCCTAATTCTTTTTGACTTTTCCAAGGCGTTTGATTCCGTTAATCATGAGATCCTTCTTTCCAAACTCCAAAGCCTGCCCATGTCAAATAGCGTCCTAAAATGGTTCCTATCCTTCTTATCCAATCGATCTCAGACAGTTACAATACCGAATAAACCTCCATCATCATCACTTCAATTAACGCGAGGTGTTCCTCAGGGTTCCTCACTCTCCCCGACCCTTTTCTCCATCTATATTAGTGACCTTCCTAACGCCATTCAACACTCCAATTACCACCTATATGCCGATGATTTCCAAATATACCAATCATTCCAACCTTCTGAGATGCCTGAGGCTGCCCGGAGGCTACAAGAGGACATCGACTGCATCAACAGATGGGCAGAAATAAATGAATTAAAGCTGAATGCAGATAAAACCAAGGCTATTATCATCGGGTCCAGACATCTCATCAGCTCCCTTCCTTACTTTCCTCTACTTTACCTCAATAACCATCCCATCCATTTTTTCCCTACAGTCAAAAACCTAGGAGTAACCTTTGACCAGAACCTCTCCTGGGATAATCATATCTCCCAGATTACCCGAAAATCCATAACTGCCCTTAAACAACTCCTAAGATTCCGTGATTGTATTCCTCTAAAAACCAGACAGCTCCTTGTAACCTCCCTTGTATTCCCCCACTTCGACTATAGCTGCTTGGTGTATGGAGGGCTATCTGCCAGGCTGGAAATGAGACTAAAAAGACTCATGAATTGTTTCATAAGATACATTTTCGGGATCCCCAGGCGTTCACATGTTTCACTATGGTACACCGAGTTGAAGTGGCTTTATCCTACTTCCCGACGACAATTCCTTCTTGGCGTTTTCCTTTTCCAAGTCTTCAGAACTAAAAACCCTCCCTACATCCTGGAACTCCTTACTCTGCGCTCCTTTATCCACTCTCTCAATACTAGGTCTCAACCTATAGACTTATATATTCCCTCCCATAAAACTTCCTCCTTCAGCAAATCCTTCATCATTCGTGCTGCTTCCTTATAGAACTCACTTCTTACCTCCATGCGTCAATCCTCATCCACAAATTCCTTCAAACAACTCCTGTTCCAACACCTACTCCACATTCAAACTTCCCCTAACATGTAAAATTACTTGCATCTATACAATGTTTAATTTCAATCCATTGCACAATTGAAATAACAATCAACAATAAATTAGTTGGTATTTTTATTATGTCAGACTAAGATACACAAATTTGTAACTCTGTTATTATTCTTAGGGGACATTAGTCCCAGAATAAAATTATTTTTTCATTTCATTTTCAACCAATGGTCACCAAGGACCACTTAGCCTCTCCTTCCTAACTCCTACTCTCACCTTCTCGTGGTGGACCCGTTAAGTCCACTGGAGTCCACAGTTGACAGATTACCAATATGTGATGTAAAAATAGTATTGGGGGACTTAAATGCAAAAATCGGAAGGGAAGAAATGTTTCGTCCTACTATCAGCCCACATAGCTTGCACGTGGGGAGTAATGAAAATGGATTTAAAGCAATTGACTTTGCTACCTCTGCGGGGTTCAGTATAGCAAGTACGTATTTCGACCATAAAAGCACTCATAAGGAAACATGGGTTTCCCCTGATGGGTTAACTAAGAACCAAATAGATCACGTCATGATTGAAAAAAGGCATGCTACAGATGTGACAGAGTTCGAAACTTCAGAGGCGCTGACTGCTCATCAGACCACTACATGGTCATAATACAATACTGCCAAAGGATTGCCAACCAACCAAAGGGACAGACAGCAAAAACCAAGAAGTATTGCTTGAAGAAACTGAAAGATCCTGACGAGAAAAAGAGGTATGCAGAAAGAGTGTCTGTAAAACTACGAGAAGCTATAGATGGAAACGAAGATGTGGAAGCTAGATGGACCAAGATGAAGAAGTGGTAACAGAGACAGCTAATGAAACCCTATTAATAAATCGTGGGAATCCCCAGAGCACATGGTTTGATGAGGAATGCAGGAGGATGGTAGAGGAGATAAATAGGGCCAGACCAGCAGTGCTTCAAAGAAGGACCAGAGCAAACGTAGAAAGGCATAAAGCCCTAAGGAGAAGAGTCAAGACCATGTGCAGAAAAAGAAAGCGAGATGCAGAAAAAGCCAAGTTCCTCCAAATGAAAAAGGTGTGTGGGGAGGGAAATAAAAGGAAGTTCTTCGGTATCCTTAAAGAACAAAAGGGAGAATTCAAGTCAAGGATAGGCTTTATAAAGAATGATAATGGTGAGCACCTGGGAGACCTGCTGGATGTTGTTAATAGGTGATCTCAATATTTCGAGAATCTCCTAAATCCAGAAATGCCTGAAGAACTCGTTTTAAGCCCACCTAGGTACATCGGATCAGCACATGTAATTACAGATATTATTGAACCTCCAGAGAAGGAAGAGGTTGCAGAAGTTCTTTTATCTTTAAAAAATTACAAGGCCTCTGGAAAGGATGATTCCTGCAGAGCTGTGGAAGTAGAGATGGGCAAAATTGTACTCTGAGTAAAAAGTACAATTACAGAGTAATTTACTCAAATACTCGCCCGGTTCGAGTATCGAGTACTTCAATCACTACTCGACCTCATGATTGACGAGTACAAAAAGTAATCAGCTGGCCTCGTGAGTACTTTCTATTTTCAAATCTACTCGGAATATTTTACTCTGAGTACTTTTCAAAGTAATCGAGTATTTCATTATAAAAATTACAGGAGTAGAATATTTAATATTTCTTCCATGTTTAAGTCCATTGTTATCTTATGGGGGTATAGTTTTTTAAAATAGTATCGATATTAATGTAAATCGATAAAATAAAGAATTATTAAAATATTTTGGATTTAATCAACTTTGGGGACCATTTTTTTTTTTTCTTTTTTACACCACTTGACTTTTATGATAATGCTGTCGGATTTGAGATAGTGCCCCCGGGCCCCGACTTTTTTAAGTTTTTGTGATTAA